CCAGATGGAGAGTTTTTCCTTGTTCTTAAGCATATCTCAATACAGTTTTACTTTTTTTTTTTGCAGTTAAATGTAGATTACGTAATACAGTAAATAATAGAAAACAAGAATATAAAAATATTTTTAAGATCTAATAATATAAATTAATATCCCTGTAGCTTCTGATCTTAGTGAAAATCATTTCACTAATTCTTTTGTTAGATAGTTACACCTACTGAGAAGAGAACTCCTGACTTCTAATGTAATAACCTACTTTATTTTTATGTTTGTTTTCTTTTTGATTGAGTTCTCTTGTATCACGTTTAATAAATATTTTATAGTCATTTTTTCTAATAACGTGAAAGTATGGATTCTTTCAATTATTGAATCATGTTCTGTTAAAGTTTTTCCTTTCATGCTTGAGTTTAGGACTTTATATGAGATACTAACAGGTTATGAGGAGTCAAGAGAAAGAATACCTAGTTTCATCAGTATATTTCATTCTTATCTGTAGCCATTTAAAAAATTACTCATATAATCAAGCCAATTAAAAATTATAAAAATCCAATAAGATAAAAGAATATTATTTGTAGGATTATATTATAAATTTAATAAATGAATAAATAAATGAGGAAGACCTCTAAATACCCAGAGATGGTTTTTAATGGTGTAATTAATCATTGGTTTATTCAATTTGATGGGTGACAAAGTGAGGGAAATTGAAAGAATCTGTTCAAATTTGTATTTGAATTTTGTAAATACACTAGTAGGAAAAAAAATTCAATTAAAAAGATCCCTTGAATTGTGAACAAGAAAGATAAGTTTTTATTGGAATAGTTTCCTAAAAGATGAGTGAAAATCACATCAATTTTTCACAAGTAAAGTTGACTGCAAGATTAACAGTTTTTTTGAGACTTAATCTTTTTTTCCTAAGAAAATGTTATTTAAATAGAAATATTCTGATCCATTGTGTAAAAGTTCATACATGATCGATCTCCCTGGCACACATTCATTGAAAAGCCCATTTTGCCTTCCCTTCATGCCTTTATTTGGTCTTTTGAAAAACTGGGACCAATAGAAAAATTGATCAAAATTAATATTTTTTGCCTTTATCAGGTAGAAATACTCTATAGATAGCTCTCTTTTCTTTAGATTGATTCTCTCTCTTCTTCTTCTGATTATGTTTAATGTTTCTGTTTTAGCTAACTATTGTAATACTCACAAATTTCTCTGAGCTCAGAAATCCTTTGGGATAAAGTTATTCACTCAGTATATTACATACCCAGGAAAGATGTAATTTGGCAGGATGACACCTTAATTGCAGAAATGAGAAGCTCTTTTGACTACTTGATTCTTTACTTAACATATGCTTTTACTGCTGGGATTTATTAAGGCCCTAATAAAAGAAAATTAAGAAATAAGAAATAGAAGAAGAAGAATGATATTTCCATAAATTTACTGTAAAGTAGTTATCCTCTGCAAAAGCTCTCCGAATTGATGGCACTTAACACCAGCAAGAGATAATGAAGTTATGTAAGATGATCCTGTGTTGATACTTTTTCCTTGTGGGTTCATAGAGTGAGTTAAGTCTAGCAACTGTGTAAGAGTAAACAACTGTGTAAGTGTAAGAGATTTTAGCTTTTGACAGTGATGAATTAGACTCTGGCCTAGTTGTTAGTGTGTTGTGCTGTTAACCAAAAGGTTGGTCATCTCTGGCAGTTTGAATTCCCCAGCTACTCTATGGAAGAAAAGTAGACAGTGTTCTGCTAAAGTTTACGGCCTCAGAAACCCAGTGGAGGGTGCTGTGGACCAAAATCCACTTGATGACAGTGAGTTTTAATTAGATTGTCAGCTAATAGAATTTTTATATTGTTGAAAGAATAAATTAGTGGTCTATCTCATATCTGCTCTTTATGTTAGGTAGCCACTTGATAACTATGTTTTAAGTCAATATAGAATATATTATTTAGAAAACCCTTATTTTTTTTTCTTAAGAGATGATATGTTCACTTGCTTTCTGTTTTGCTGTTTACCATGTGTTTTAAAAATAAAAACAAGATTTAGAATTACAGTATTTTGCTAAGATCTTTTAATTTGGTTTTCTTAATAGTCTTATTATATATATCCTGTCTCCCCAGTAAGGCTAATTTTTATTATGTGGTATCACTGTTTCCTAATGGTGTTTAGTAGAAGGCACTGTTTACTATGAGCAATAGAAATATAGTCATACAATTGTAAACATTTTGCAAAAAAACTCTGAATAGTTTTCATCTCTACTGCTCAGAACCCCCAGGATTAAAGGTGACTAATGTTCTGGGCAGTCTAGTGGTAAGGGGCTGTACTATAGTCCCAGGAGCACACAGTCTGAATCCACTAGCCACTCTGGGGAAGAGGGATGGGCATGATTTAATGCCTCTGAAAACCCTCTGGAGGGTCAGCTATGGCTTTCAACTCTATCACACAAAACCACACAACAATGGAAAGCTGAGGGAGCTCTGAAAAAGAGTTGCACTGCCAACCCAAAGGCACTCAGTTCAAGTCCTCCAGTTGCAATAGGGGAGAAAGATGGGCCATTTTCACCTATGCAATTTACAACTTCTGAAAACCTGGTGAGGGGTTGGCAATGAGTAAGTTCCGCCTTGACAGAACATATCAATAACAACAGCAATGGAAAGTTGGGTATTACAGTTAGAAGAATTAATCCGTTAAATGAAAATAGCCTAATGATGAAAAGTACAGGTTTTGAAGGAATACTAAGTTCTAAAGTAATACAACATAATCAGAATGAAGAGTTCTGATATCATTGGACTTTTATAATTGAGAGATTTTTTGTTTTAGTTAGTTGAGAGTTTTCCTTCTTGGAGTTAAGTTATTGATGATAACCAGATTCATTTCTTGACATACACAGCATTTATTTTCCACTATATTTTTATTCTCTACAAAACAGAGATCTGCCTGTACTTGTCTCTTAAGTGCAGATGTTGTCTGGGGATAGGTGTATAGGGCGTCACTGAAGGCAATACAGAGAGAATAATAAAGGTAATCACAGTGCTCTCGTTCAGACTTTTTTTGCTTCATCTTGTGAGAAGATGTCATAAGTTATGTGGAAGGCTATTTATAATGTCTTAAGGAAGGAGTAAAAGAATACCAAAAAAATTAACTATGTAGAAAAGAAAATTCATACTTATTGATTACAATGATGTGGGAGAGTTCTATGCTTTAAGTAATTTGTTATTGTCGTTGAGTCGGAACCCACTCACAGCTGACCCTTGAGCAGGTTTTCAGAGGCTGTAAATCACATGGGAGGAGCTAATCCTTTTATATCTTTGAGCGTGGCTGTTTAATTCAAACCACGTGCATTAGAATTGACTGCGCAACTCCTTACTCCTAGGCCAGTAAAGCTTGCTTAATAAAGTTATTTAGCAGTTTTAAAACTAGAGCTTGCATCAGAATCTCCTCAGCCCCAGAATTGCTGGTTCAGTGAATCTCAGGGAGCAGCCAAGTATTATGATGTCTTAAAAGTTGTCATGTTATATTGCTAGTCAGAGCCCTCACTGGAGAACAAATGTAATATATTATTCTTTAAAACAACCTTATGAAGCAATCAGAACTAGTATTACATATTAGTAGTCTGAGCTCTGAGTAGATAATCTTACCAAAGTGACATTGCTAATAAATGGCAGTGTTGAGATTCAAATGAAAATTTCTTTTCTTACACCAAACCCTAGTATCTTTCCACTTGTTAAAAGACACCTTTAAAAAGGTAATACTTCTTAAAAGATAAAGAAATAAAGGGGAGTGAGCCAAAGAAGGTAGAAGTGATGCTGCCTGATGTTACAGACTGCCTGGAAAGGTCAGGTCTCTCCTGTCCGTTGTGCTCCATTGTGCCATTGCATTGCACTTATTTTCTGGTTTGTGAGTTAGGGAAAATACTGTTTCTTTAAGGTGGTTGGAAAAATTGCTGTGAGCTTTAGAGAAGTCCTTGGTGAATCCAAATACAGAACTTGAAAGGACATAACAAAGTTGGTATTAGGAGTTGAGGCTATGAAAACTTACTTGGGGAAAACAAAAAGTAAAAAAAAAAAAGTCTTTCTGTTAGACATTTGAAAGAACAGAATTTACTAAATATGTACTCAAATATATGAGAAACAAAAAGTTTATGTTTGAGAGATCTTTTTCAGATACAGGCTGTCAATATTTAATTCTGCCTTAGTTTTCTCTTTGAAGACTAGATAGACACATTTTTTTTTTATACAGAGATCAAAGTTTATTGTGGTTACCAAAAGGGGAAAGTGTTTGTTGCTTATAGAGTACAAAGTTTCAGTTTACAGTAAAGGAAAAATCACAGTGATTAAAGATAGATTGCACAGCAGTTTATTATAATTGCTGTTAATAAATTATACATCTGTAGAAAGTTTAATAGGCAATAGTTGAGGGAGATAGACACATTTTTCACACATTCAGAGGAGAAAAGTAAATAACAAATAGGAAGTCCAATGAACATTTTTGCATATTATTCTGCCTTCTCCCTATATACTGCCTAATTGTATGTAGCTTTTTATACCTGAGAGAATTTTCAAAGTTTTATTCTGTCATCTGGTGGTTGTCATCCATGCTGTCTCCATTTACCTGTATTGTCAGTCCCACATTGTATATATCAAAATCAAGTGATAAATCATTTTGTTATTTTGAGATGCTTGTGTGGTTCTATTACTCCTTGAAATTGTCAGGGTAATTTTATCTGAAAATGAGTGACTTAGATTTCACCACTGCATACTCAAAAAGAAATTGATTTTTGTTTATCAGTAATATCACCTTTCTGATAAGACCCTGGAACTTTGAACTAATTTCAAGTTTTACTTCAGAACACAGTCACACATCACTAGTTGTTACTTAATGGTAAAATGCATGTCAGCAATGGAAGTGGGATTTTTAGGGGTGATATTTAAAGAAGATCGGTCATTATGCATAAGATTGATTTCACTATGGTAATTTTTTTCCTTCTTTTTTTTTTTTTTAAGCAAAGTTAAACCACCTCCTCAAATTTCACCCAGCAAATCAGTTGGTGGAGAATTTTGTGTAGCTGCTGTCTTTGGGACATCCAGATCATGGTTTGCAAACAATGCAAGTCTGAAAAGAGAAAAAGGTATGTATTTTTATTATAGTTCAGACTTTTCATTTGTAATTTTCACTATTTGAAAGACATTTCTACAGGTACCGTTAGAATGCATCTGAATCTTATAATCTGGAACCCACTTTACACATTCAGTGAGCTTATTTTCTCCTCAGCTTCTCAAACCTAGTTAAGACAGAAAGCTGTCTTCTTAATATAAATACAAAAGAACTTATCAAGTATGTGTTACTGCTTTGTCTGGTGGGGCATACATAGGTGGTTTCAAGACTATATATACTTTTTATAAGTTAATTGTTTTATTAAAGCCGTACAACAACCCTGTGAAGTATAGAGAAGAAAACCTACGTTGTCTATATTTTAGAGATTGTGAAAAGACCAAAGACCACATGGGGATAGCCATATCTGACACTTACCAATTCCACAAAGGGGTACTATCCCCTGAAAATAACATACACAGCACAAAACTAATTCCCATTAGATCAGATATATCTGCCACACTCCCACACCTCTTTCTACTCACTCCAACACAATGTTACAGCTTTCCTGGGTCCACAATCTGTTGCATTAACTCGTAAATCATACAGAGCCGTATTAGAAAGGCAAAAAAAGTGGTAATTCAGGTTAGTAGCAGAATATAGTTACTCAGTCAGGACAGATTCTAAATGTATTAACAGGCACTTCAGCCTTGCTGCCTTAGAATCTTAGTCTCACCAGTTATGGCTCACCCCCTGTCTCCTTGCACCCCACCTACCACTGTCCTCCAACAAACATGAGCAAAAGGCTCTTAGTTCCAGTTCTGTGGTGTAGCAGTCCCAAGGTCAGCTCCATCTCCTGTCAGGTCTCTGGTTCTCTACTGCTGGCTGCTGTGACTCCTGTTCCTATAAGACTTCATCTGATACAAGAATCTCTGGCCCTGAAGAACCTGCTCCATTCTCTTACTTCTTCTTTGCTGGTTGTGATTCTGAAATTTTGTTGTTGGATCTGCTCAATTTAATAGTGAGATTATCCAATCCCTTTGTGGATTGGTGATTCCCTTGCGTATAGGCTAATACACCTTGTTGTTGTTGTTATGTGCCGTCGAGTCGTTTTCGACTCATAGCGACCCTATGCACAAGAGCCCTAAACCCTGCTCTATCCTGTGCCATCCGCACTGCCTCTGACACACCCATCCCGATTACCCCAGTCACTGAATCAATTCATCTCATAGAGGGCCTTCCCCTCCTGCGCTGTCCCTCCACCCTCCCAAGCATGATGTCCCCCTCCAAGGACCCGTCCCTCCTGGCAACATGTCCAAAGTATGTCAGACGAAGCCCCAGAATACTTGCCTCCAAGGAGTAGCTTGGTTTAATCCTCTCCAAG